CTTGCAGCTCAGAGAACCCTAGAGTGAAACGGACTATAAGCGGGAGTGACATTGATACCACTGAGATTTCCTTTGCTCAGCAGACAGCCCTACCTATCTCAGGGGTTTATATGGATGCCCAGCTCCCTAGTACCTGAGCACCTTCTATGCAAAAGCAATAGCGGGAACAGGGTAACATTCTCCACAGGGCTTATAGGCTTTAGGAAGTTGCCTGCCATTGACAGTAACTCGTAAATAGTGAACGGCAAACTGGATTTTTAGAATCCTCTCGTTCTAATGACCCTGAGGTTTTGCAGCCGTTCCTTCCCAGCTCAGTGGCTTTTCAGCTGAGAGAGCCCCTTTAAAGACCCATGAACGCGTTTCTATTCACGTCAGTTTTGTCAGATGGCATGAATCTGGCATATGAAACTAATTGACTGGGTCTAATTACACAATAGACTAACACACCGACCTGCACCAGGATAAACACCAGAGGATAGCTGGCTAATGGAGATGTTTTCTTACCGCTAATCTTTTGTACCACCTTTCAAAGAACTGAGCGAAACCTTCAACTCCTTAATCCTTCTGGGAGGCAGGTACTATTCCCCTTTTTATGGGCAGGAAACTGAGGCAGGAGCCATGACCTTGCCCACTGTGGCACAGGAAGTGGAAGAATTGAGAAGACCAACAAGAGTCCTGACTCTCAGCCTCTGCCCCCTCTAACCATTAGACCCCACTCCTCTCTCGGAGCTGGGAAAAGAACCCAGGAATTCTGATTCTCAGGCCCCTGCTCTAACCACTAGATCCCACTCTCCATCCCAGAGCCAGGAATCCCAACTCCCATTCCTTACCCTGACCGCTACACTGCACTCTTGCTTATCACAATGCATCCAGTTCTCTTGTATCCGGTGCAGCGGCACGAGGTATTATTCGAATACCTGGGACAGGGATCAACCCCGGTACACAGAAAGGAAAATGCATGAGAAGGTCGATCCACTTAGGACCACAGAACTGGTTAACAAAGCCTTTCTTTGCGGAAGGGAAATCGAGCCTGATCAAAGCCCAGCAGGGCCCAGCCAGCACCAGGGCTCTAGGGACCTGTAATTAGGAGAGATCAGAGTTATCTGGAAGAGATCTGAGTCTCCTAATCAGAGGGCAGACTGCTC